CTCTTCACTGACCGCTACTAGGTCCTCTCTCCCTACTCCATGAGCTTTATCATACCTCATCTTAAAGCTGTGATAGTGAGCTTGACTATTGTCGTAGCTCTCTCTCTATCTCTATCTCTCTCTCTCTCTCTCTCTCTCTCTCTCTCTCTCTCTCTCTCTCTCTCTCTCTCTCTCTCTCTCTCTCTCTCCTCTCTCTCTCTCTCTCTCTCTCTCACTGTCATCAAATTTTTTATAAACAAGCTGAAGATATAACTGACTCCTTCAGTAACAGTAAGTATTACAGGTACTTGATCAGTGATATATGAGTTACGCCATGGATTCGAAAGCTGTTGTGAGAAGGAATCCACACAAAGTAGACTCTTAACTTTATTATTTATCTTAGTAGACCTGTGTGTGACTTCAGACACATGGTTCTTGTAGATTTGTCTTAAGAATCATGGAGAATTTAGGGATGCAAGTAGCTTACAGTTAATTTGCAGTTTCGACTGTAAATTAGTACTAAATGGTCATTACTATGACCATAATTTTTAAAGGGGTGGACCGGTAAGCCAGCGGAAGGCCTCGGTCAGATGACCAAAAGCTCCAACGGCGGGTTATCATACGACTGAGACCCGCGTCAGGAAACACTTGTCCTGTTTACTGACGAATCTTACCTAACCTAACCTAGACACTAGAAAAGAACTCAGCTTACAGGCTGGAGGCTAAATTATTTTTACGGGTTCCACTCTAGAGAAGTGTTTTTTATGGATGTAAATTAGTACAGAATTTTTAAAAAAATAATTTGCGCTCTTGTTTCTTGCATATAACTAACGTAGACGAACACTGGTGGTATTGATGGCTTAACTAAAAGCAACTAAATTATTATTACTGCATTTATGGGGGAACATAATCCTTTAAGTGTCAAACGGCTCCTTGGGAGTGGGAGGTTATTAGGTTTAGTCCTAGTAAGGAGAGGAAGGCTTCAAGTTCTCGAATCAAGAGCCCTCGCGAGCATCAAGACACGTCCCTTGAAGGGATGACTATGCTAGTGGCTTTATTTTACGCTTAACAATATTGTATTACATGTAGATTTTGTATGCTGCAGAAAATAATAGTTTATATTTATATGTAAATAACACATGGCGTACCAGCGCAGCCGGAAGTACCTTCCGGTTGTGAACATTAAAATGGTATAAAATACCGACAGATTGTTAGGTAAGACACATATGCAACAGTTAGGTATCTTTATTTTGAAACGTTTCGCCTACACAGTAGGCTTCTTCAGTCGAGTACAGAAAAGTTGATAGAAGCAGAAGATACTTGAAGACGATGTAATCAGTCCATCACCCTTAAAGTTTTGAGGTGGTCAGGGTGATGGACTGATTACATCGTCTTCAAGTATCTTCTGCTTCTATCAACTTTTCTGTACTCGACTGAAGAAGCCTACTGTGTAGGCGAAACGTTTCAAAATAAAGATACCTAACTGTTGCATATGTGTCTTACCTAACAATCTGTCGGTATTTTATACCATTTTAATGTTCATTCTGTCAGACACTGCAACACAAGGGTATCTTGGTACAGACCATCTACTTCGACAACCTCTACTAGTGAGAACGGCTGGGTTTGAGAAGGACCTGCCCTCCCAAATCAACCTACGTCTCACCTCCTGGCACTATATAAGGCCCGATTCTGTCACTTCAACTTCATATTGTTTCAGACAACGGAACAATGCTCTTCTCCAGACTGAGGGACTGACCACCTCAAAACTTTAAGGGTGATGGACTGATTACATCGTCTTCAAGTATCTTCTGCTTCTATCAACTTTTCTGTACTCGACTGAAGAAGCCTACTGTGTAGGCGAAACGTTTCAAAATAAAGATACCTAACTGTTGCATATGTGTCTTACCTAACAATCTGTCGGTATTTTATACCATTTTAATGTTCATTCTGTCAGACACTGCAACACAAGGGTATCTTGGTACAGACCATCTACTTCGACAACCTCTACTAGTGAGAACGGCTGGGTTTGAGAAGGACCTGCCCTCCCAAATCAACCTACGTCTCACCTCCTGGCACTATATAAGGCCCGATTCTGTCACTTCAACTTCATATTGTTTCAGACAACGGAACAATGCTCTTCTCCAGACTGAGGGACTGACCACCTCAAAACTTTAAGGGTGATGGACTGATTACATCGTCTTCAAGTATCTTCTGCTTCTATCAACTTTTCTGTACTCGACTGAAGAAGCCTACTGTGTAGGCGAAACGTTTCAAAATAAAGATACCTAACTGTTGCATATGTGTCTTACCTAACCTTCCGGTTGTGCTGGTACTGCTGGGTATGTTTCCCACACTAGTCATTCAATAATGTAGGTTTTATATTCGAAGGCTTAGAAATATTTTCGGAATTTAGGTTTAGAATGTATGATCATGTTTCGTGCGCATTTATCGTGCCCTCTTGAGTAGTGACGTCCTCACTGGTATATTAATCTCAGCCTCAAGTATGCCTGTCTGCTGAATTTATTGGCGTGGCTGACAAAAATGGATAAGTATCTCTACAACACAGCAGTTTAACACCTTGGAGTCTCCGACATTAAACATATTTAACTAATTATTCTCTAATATAATAATAATTAATAATAATAATAATAATAATAATAATAATACCAGTATATCATTGGCCGTATGAGACCGTGAAAATGTTTCTTCAAATTTTAATATATATATATATATATATATATATATATATATATATATATATATATATATATATATATATATATATATATATATATATATATATTAGCGTTTTATTCGTATGTTAAATGTCCTACTTTAATTCCTATTTGAGAGGGATTTAAATATTTATGATTGGTGGTGTACAAGCAAATTGTTACCTTAATGACCTTCGTGCAGTCGATAACTTTAAGTTCAGCACAGAAATCGACCGATCGAATCTGTTGGAGCCTTAATTAACAAAAGAATTAAGTTCTCGAAACCTAAAAATTGAGGGAAGGCACACAGCGGGCTGATGGTGGCTTAGGTAAAAGACACTTAAGACATTCATTGAGGAAACCACTCGTGATGAACAGTTTCCTTAATGCCTCGAGCAGTACATACTGCCCTTTAAATACAATTCGTCATATAGCCGTAGACATTCAGTAACAGCGGTGGTTGATTACTCCTGGGGTCCTACAGTGACTGGGATTTAGGAGGTAATCTCTTTTTATCCGGGTAAAGAGAGGGTTGCTCCACTTTCCCGGATCATGAACCCTTCAGTGGCTTTATGGAGAGACTCTTGAAGAGAGCGAGTGGTACACTGTAGCCAACACTTCAGACTGTGTACACCCAAAAGAACCTTGTACACAACATTGATTCAGAACTGCGTGTGGCCGGCCAGTATTAACTAGGTTTCATGTCAATACTAGCTCCTCCCTACCATCATTTAAGTTTTACTCCTGAATTTGCGCCACCAATTAGCGTACGTGACAAGCCCCGTCTCCCTAACAAGTTTTACACATACTCTCTTAGTGATATGAAATATATGAACGGTATGAAACTATGCACAAGACCTTATTATACATGTAAATGCAAATACCCACTCATTGATAAAAGTAATTTTCTGTAAATAGTCCTTTTCTCGGTACAAAGACCTGCTTGAGCACTTCCTCAGATTAGTTGTTCCATGAAGGTAGGACAGGCCATCCTGAGAGACGGTAATTCCCAAGTAAACTCAATCTCTGCTGGAACGAAACCTTTGAAGCTTGAAGTAGTTACTTGAACGCTCAACTTTGTGGAATACTAAGCTGTGATGGTAGGTGCGGAGCTAATGTGGATTGTTACTTGACTACGTTACTAGGCTTTGTCATTTCCCTACTAAAGTCTTTCAGCACTGACTTGACAGATTTCATCGTTGACATATGAACCCCTATCCTGTGTGATAGCATGTAGCAGGAAAACACAACTTGTAGCAGGAAAACACAATTTACAAAAGGAAAACACAACTTGAGAAAGATATGTACAGTACTAAACAAGTTTTGGCTGGTTAATTGGGTTTCAAGTGCATCGACCAAACAAAAGGTCATTAATATTGCATATATCCTGTTCACCATTAGTTAAAGGATACTTTAATCCCCAAAATAGGAATCAGGGTTAACTCTCAGCATGCAAACACTGAGACATACACCTTTCTCTGGTATTTAATCCTTGTGTAACTTTTATATCCTTGTATGTTAGATTTAAATCTAAATGTACAACAACCCAGGGATAGGGGGAGTTGTATGGCTTGTTTACGATTTTTGCATTAAGTCAGTATGTTGGATCACCCCTCGTTGCTTACCTAGTAAGGAAGCATGTGCTAGTCTACGCCCTGTATACTATGTTATAGTATCAGTGCTAATTATATTAGATAACACATCAAGGGGAGGTACCTTGATGCAGGTGAGAGGTTTTTGATCGAAGGAATTACACCTATCCTCCATTCCTTTCCTTGAACCTGACTGCCAGGCGCTGCGTAATCCCTACCATGTAATATTACCTAACATTTAAACCACTAAATAATCTTGTGATACATGCATATTAAATAAGTTAGTATTCCTAGTGTTACAATTTAATATTTCGCAAGTCACTAGGTCTTCTTGTACCTAGCAATGTCGCAACACGAAAGGTGAAAACCTCAGACAGACGGGATATCTACCAACATTCGTTCCAAGTTGAACCATCCATTTGAACAATTTTCCATATATATATATATATATATATATATATATATATATATATATATATATATATATTATATATTATATATATATATATATATATATATATATATATTAAATTTTGCAGAGGTTTAGTTCGGGTAGAAATCAGATTTAATGCGTGTGAAAACGCATGTCCTATTTAAAGGGTAGACTGCATAATCAGTTATATTTATGACATGCTAATCTTTGTCTCAGTCGTCTTTAGTGGTATTTACATTGTGTTGGCGGGTTTGCTAACCAGCATCATGTCTTCTCCTCCAGGTGGTGACTGGACAATGAACAAGGAATAACGGCCACAGGAACTCCCTCACCATCATGACAGAAAACGGTGGATATCCGGTTCCCTCTACCACAGAAAATGGGGAGGGGGCCGCCGATGAGAATTACAGAGGTCTTTACCTTCAGGAAGTAGAGAAGAGGAAGACTATAATGAAGCTAGCACAAAAAGGTCAGTTTAATGAGTTCTCTTTTTTTTTCTTTGTTACAATAATCACATGCTTATCATGTATTTATTTTGCATAGTAAATATATAATTAACATGAACTCAAATTAAGTTGTAGTGAACAACTGTCGATGAATAAACAAAAGGGTGGACGATGGGATCGAACCGTGGGCGGACTGTCAATTTACGGACCTCGGTTCAAGCCCCTCGTCCAACCTTCTGTTTATTCATATAGGCAACATAATTACGCATTAATAAGTCAGCATTATATTATTAAGCTAACCTATATATTACCAGGCTCGCAGGCTGACTAAAATTCTTAAGAGGAGGAGGGCACTGGGGCTGCATTTAATTGAAGTAATTCCCGTTAACGGTAGCTTAGATCTTTTGGCCTAATTTATAAGCATAATAGCCTAATGCAAAACAACCACGGGGGGAGTTGAATAATAGCTCTGGACCTTTCGTGTTGCAGTCAACACATCAAGAGCTTGCAAAGTTGTAGAAATGAGTAAGAAATCTCAGCAGATTCGCAAGCGTCCCTCTGAAGGAATCTGCTGAGATTTCTTACTCATTTCTGCAAGCTCCTGATGTGTTGATTGCAACACGAAAGGCCTAGAGCTGTTCTTCAACTTGCCGTGTGGTTCTTTTGTATCTTGTATCGTTTGTTACTGGTTCTTGCATATAATAGCCTAATACTACTGTACCATATGTCACATATATACTGTAACACATTTACATATATTAATTTTTGGGGGGTTTAAAAATTCTTGGTGGGCAGCTGCCCCTCTAGTATCTCCTTTAGTGCTGCATGACCCTTGTGAGTTTAATGCTTAGTTATGATTATAATAATCTAGTATCTCCTCAGAGATCACGGCTCTTACTATGCAGTATATTAATACAAAACAGATGTATGCCATGAAAGTTCTATTATTTAGCATTGCGATGAATTGAATAGAAAACAGTATACATGTGGTTAAATATGAGACATAGAATAAGGACGACAGTGGAAAAGAAAGTCACACTTTGATTTTATTGGGTAAATGAGGTTTTGCTTGCGAGGGGCTTAGACATCTAACAGGCATTGTGTGAGCATGTTAGGAGTGGAGGAAAGCTTTTTTTTCATGACGACGTGCTGTTGGAGTGTGAACAAGGTAACATGAACAGATTCGGGGAAACCAGTTAGCCGGACTTGAGTCCTGAAAGTGGGAAGCAAAGTGCCTTCAGTGTGACGGAGGGGTGGGGATACTGCAGTGGCGCCCTAGTAAGTCCTGAAGACAGGGAACAAGTTATTCAGGGCTTGGCAGGAAGTGAAGGTTTTGCTCTCCTCTTCCCCTCCTTCAATAGGAATCACTACTTTCAAAAGGATCTGTTGCGTGATGCTCGTGTACACACATGTCCATAGCCCCCTGTTTATAGGTGTTCCTTTCTCTAAGTAGCTTGCCGTGTGCCACTAACTGTGGAACTTACTTTAACAGTCCTCCCACAGCTTGAGTTTTTCTGCATTACTCACGAAATCGTAATGACACGATTGCAAACAAACCATACCACGGGCGGGATTGAACCCAGTGGCTAACGCGACGGTCTGGAGTTTTGAGACTCTCTGACCGCGGGTTCAATCCAACCCGTGGTATGGTTTTTCTGCATTCTTCGTGGTTTTTATAATTACCGAGGTGCCTGCAGGGACCTCTGGGGACTTTTAGGGGTGTTTTAGCAATTTAATTTTTTTATAAAGTGATGCTGGTTATTTTAACTTGGTATGATAATATTTGTCTCGAGTGTTAATCTTCATTGATTTTATTATTTGTTAATTTTATCTGTTTTTCTTGTGTGGGATTTATACAGTATATTTTATGGCTATCAGTGCTGTGACCTACGTGGTCAAAGTGCTCTGTAAATGTCCCTACTACTACCCCTCCCCCTCTTTCTCACTGTTTTCCCCTCTCTCACTGTTCTATCACACTCTCGTTGTTTCCAACTTTTCTCTCGCTCTCATGCTTTCTGTATATACATATCAAACAAAACTTAAAACACAGAGATCTTGTTTGTCATCAAGAATTAAGTTACAGTTAATCTGGTTGGAAGTTAGTGAGGGTGGCGGGGGGAGGGACCGGCCGGGGGAGCACGCAGTTGACATAACATGTAACTAAGAGACACTGCTACACTCACTCTCAACACTTCATTGTCATGGAGCCTCGTATGTTGAGGGTTTTAGATTTTTTTTTATCCTCGCAGCCCGGCCTTGGGTCAGGTCCTTTCGTTTAAGTGTTCAACCAGGTTGTTGCTGTTGACGGCTCGTGGTCCCACACATCTACTACAGCCTGATTGATCTCGTACTTGGCGGAGATTAAGTTTCCCCTTGGAAACTTTTTGCATAAGTTCCCACAATATTTACTGTTTCTTTCTGTAGCAGAATGAGAAATTACCATTTATCAAGGGCACTTGCCGATAGACACTTTTCGATAGACAATTGACGTGTATGTGTCTAGTAGTTATTAGTTGTCAAACGTATTTGTCCACAAACACTTAATCTGTTTGTAGTAGTTACTAGTTGTCAAAAGTACTTGTACATAGACACTTGGCCTGTTGTGTATTGTGTAGTACTTAATAGTTATCAAAGGTACTTGTCGTTAGACAGTGTGTGTGATCCTAGACCACTGGTGTTGTCACATGACTGTCGTGTGTATGTACACTTTATTGGTGATAATGTTATGATGGTGACAGTATTTTTGTGGCTTGGAACACTAGTTGTGGCGACTCTGAATATCAATACAGCTGGAGGGGAAGTGAATCTATATGTCTGAACTATGGTGTATACTCACGCTGAGCCAGAGGTAAACACACACACACACACGCGCACGCGCGCGCGTGTACGTCTGTTCTGACCAGTAGCTACTATAATTTAACCCTGGCAGGAGCAAAGTTATAAATATTGGGGAAGGACAAAGAAGACCACAGAGTACAGGGTCTGGAGCCAGGTGCTGCAAACCTCACTCATGGAGGACCTTAGGGTGAGCATTGTACCAAACATATCATCGCGCGTATGGCAAATCCAAGATTAGCTTTCAGGAAGCTAAACAAGGAGTCATTCACGACACTGTATACACCATTTGTCAATCCCTCTTAGAGCATACAGCACCAGTATGGAACCCACACCTGGAGAAAGTGCAGACGAGACGAGAAAGTGCAACGACACTAGTCCTGGAGCTAAGGGGTATGTGCTACGAGGAGAGATTAATGGAACTAAACCTGATGACATTAAAGAAAAGAGGGACTAGGGGTGATATAAAAATGTACAAAATACTGAGAGGATCTGATAGGGTGAACAGGGTCAGAATCGAAAGATGAGAAACAGGAAAACTAGGGCACAGTCGGAGGTTGAAAACACAGACGAGTCACGGATGTTAGGAAGGATTTCTTCAGTTCTGGAGTAGGCAGAAAGTGGAATGACCTGGCTGGCAGACTCCATACATACATTTAAGAAGAAGTACGATAAGGCTCTCGAAGCCAGAAGAATGAGCCCAGTAGCGACCAGCAAAGAGGCGGAGCCAGGAACTGAGATTCGACCCCTGCAGCCATATATAGGTGAGTACATTAGTCAGAGTGGTCAGGAAGTGGAATAGTCTGGCAAGCGATGTAGTGGAGGCAGGAACCATACATAGTTTTAAGACGAGGTATGATAAAGCTTATGGAGCAGGGAGAGAGAGGACCTAGTAGTAATCAGTGAAGAAGCGGGGCCAGGAGCTATGTCTCGACCCTTGCAACCACTAATAGGTGAGTACACACACAGGCGGGGCCAGGAGCTGTGAATCGACCCCTGCAGCCACAACTAGGTGAGTACACACACACACACACACACACACACACACACACACACAAAGTCATGAAGATTGGGGAAGGGCAAAGAAGACCGTAGACGGAGTACAGTCTAGGGGGGCCAGAGACTACAAACCTCACTCAAGGAAAAAGATCTTGGGGTGAGTATAACACTAGGCACATCTCCTGAAGCGCACATCAACCAAATAACTGCTGCAGCATATGGGCGCCTAGCAAACCTCAGAACAGCATTCCGACATCTTAATAAGGAATCGTTCAGGACCCTGTACACCGTGTACGTTAGGTCCATATTGGAGTATGCGGCACCAGTTTGGAACCCACACCTAGCCAAGCACGTAAAGAAACTAGAGAAAGTGCAATGGTTTGCAACAAGACTAATCCCAGAGCTAAGAGGTATGTCCTACGAGGAGAGGTTAAAGGAAATCAACCTGACGACACTGGAGGACAGGAGAGAGAGGGGGGACATGATAACGACATACAAAATACTGAGAGGAATTGACAAGGTGGACAAAGACAAGATGTTCCAGAGATGGGACACAGCAACAAGGGGACACAGTTGGAAGTTGAAGACACAGATGAATCACAGGGATGTTAGGAAGTATTTCTTCAGCCACAGAGTAGTCAGGAAGTGGAATAGTTTGGGAAGCGATGTAGTGGAGGCAGGATCCATACATAGCTTTAAGCAGAGGTATGATAAAGCTCAAGGTTCAGGGAGAGTGGCTTAGTAGCGACCAGTGAAGAGGCGGGGCCAGGAGCTTGGACTCGACCCCTGCAACCTCAGCTAGGTGAGTACAACTAGGTGAGTACACACACACACACACACACACACACACACACACAAAGGGGTCTGTCCTACGAGGAGAGGTTAAGGGAAATCGACCTGACGACACTGGAGGACAGGAGAGATAGAGAGGACATGATAACAACATATAAAATACTGAGAGGAATTGACAAGGTATACAGAGACAGAATGTTCTAGAGATGGGCCACAGCAACAAGGGGACACAATTGGAAGTCGAAGACACATGAATCACAGGGATGTTAGGAAGTATTTCTTCAGTCACAGAGTAGTCATGAAGTGGAATAGTTTGGGAAGCGATATAGTGGAGGCAGGATCCATTCATAGCTTTAAGCAGAGGTATGATAAAGCTCATGGTGCAGGGAGAGTGACC